AAAAAAAAAAAAAAAAAAAGAACACGAACGATGGTTTCCTCCTTCAAGTGAAAATGCAAGAGAAAACGTACCCATTTTGGCCAGCCGATTCACCCATTTCGGGATCCTTTTTCCAGTCAGCTTGAAACACACATCTTTGCAAAAATGATTGCAGTTCTTTGCAATCAAGTGGTAAGTATCACCATTATAATACGCAGCTTGCCGCTCCATAAACTCCCTAACTTGTGTGGCATCCAATTTCGTGGTGCCAATGAATATGGACTTTCTAAACCTAAATCCAGGACATTGGCGTGGCTCGACTTCAAAGACGCCGCTAGACGAGTAATCGTGAGCTCCAAATGCATACTCTAGGCCATGTACTATCATTTCCCCCAAATAAGGTGAAGTTTTGTAAGTAAGGACATAATTTCCGAAGAGAAACTTATGAATTAGAAAGCAAAATTCGATCTTTTGTTGGGCTATAATGAACCCCTAAAAACAATTCAGATGTTAAAAATGAACATGATAATTTGTTGATTTTTTCAGATCTTAAGTAAATGTAATGAGGTAAGCGAGTGAGGCACGAGATTTCATTTTATATTATTTTAAATGCAGCCGTACATACCTTCTACACCGGAGTGAAATATACCGAAGCCAGCCCAATAGACATAACCATTTATCGGGGTCAAGTCATACACATTGAGGTACACCGGGCTACTTTTGGCACCATCATCATCTGATTTAACTTTCGAGAACAAACAAAAACACCGAGCTGATTTTTCAGTGAAACAAAGAGCTTTAATTGAGTTCCACCGCCTCTTTGGTCCTAATGCCATTCTTCCCTAAAAAGGGAGCTCAATTCAATTACAGCCACAACAAAATCTAGCAAAGAGAAAATAGAAGAGTAAGGCTAAGAAGCCACAAAATCACTTTTTTTTTTTTTTCCAGAGAAAGTAACAAGAAAATAAGGGGGAGAAAGGTGTATGAGAAACAAAATAAAGATCTGCATTTAAAACTAACTAGTAATTACTTGATGAATGCTTTAAATGATCACATGTTTCAAAGATGAAATTTACAGGGAATATAGTGAAAGGCAACTAACAACGAGCTCGAAAACTTGTCATGGCTGACTAATTTCAGAACAATCTTGTATTATCCTATATGTTGAAACAACCTATTTAAGAGTAAAGACGAGGTGAACTAATACATTGGAACACAGCTCATGCATCAAACAACGCAAACAAATGAACAGACATGATTATGTTAAATTGCTTATAAGATACTAAAACGAGTTTTTTCACCCTTTTAAGAGCAGAATGAGATATGTTTTGTCAGTCTACACCATTGAAAAACTTTTAAAGCTGACTCTTGCAATTACAACTCATATCTTTCTATTGTAAGTAAGTTTTATCTAACTTTCCAACTTATATTGACTTGCTGCTTAGCTGATGACATCACGTCTGTGAATAAATGATTTCTTTTCAGCTCTATCTATATATATATATATATATATCCTACTTCCACTTACTCCAGGAATAATTTTTTTTACTTCTCTTCTAAAATCTTATAAATATGACAAAGAACGAGTAATGGAATGTGTTAGACAAAGACAAGGGTTCGTTTCAATGAATCTCAATAAAAAACCAATTTGAATATTAGCAACGATCCGTTTTCAGAAAAAAACAGCATAAGGAATTACAAACCAAAGAAAATCATCAAACAGTTCCAAATAATGAAAAGTCAAAAGGATGAGAAGTGGGAGGCCACTAATCATTTGGTTGTTGATTATACAAATATTGCTTGCAGATTTGGAGCTTCTTGATCTCTTTTTCCTCTTGACTTTTAAGCTTTAATTAATATTATCCAGTAAATTTTCATTTTGAGCTGTATATTTATTAATACTCAGGTTGCTTATCATCATCTTCAGAGCAAAACAAATTTGATAATTTCACCTCATTCATAATTTCATAGTTTCTAGTGGGAAAATTGGAAAAAGGGAGAAAGAGGAAAGAACCCCTTCAACTCACAAAAACTTTCTTGATATGTTATAGCGAAATGCTACGGTCCCGTTACGGTACCATCCCGTCGGGTGTTTTAACCGTTGGATCCACGTGTAGTTAGATAAGATAGATGATCCAACGGTTAAAACACCTGACGGGATAGTACCGTAACAGGACCGTAGTATTTCCCTAAGTTATAACCCTCTTGGCTTCTCCACACATTAGTAACACAAATCAACAAAACTATTGACTAATAATAAGTCCAGATAACACATAAACTAAGAGAATAGTAAGTGATGGCAAGCATAAATGTGGACAAAAAAAAAAAAAAAATAGCTTCAGGTGTACAAAGAGGCCATACTTAGACCAGATCTTGTTTTCAGAGTTCCAACTCATATCAGCAAATACACACCAAACTAAGAAATAAAACATTCAACAATAAAACCAAAATAAAAAAATTATTCAACCCTAAACAAATTCCATCAAATCCCACATAATTAAACAACCCACAAAGCCAGAATGCAACAAAAGAAAATAAGGTAGTGAAAGCAAATTAATATCATACCCAGCAAAACAGAGTTTCAAGAACTCCCAAATAAATAAATTAATAAATAAATAAATAAATAAGAAACAAACTCACAGGTTTGATCACAGAGCCATTTGCAGAGGCTAATTTGTTTTTCCAGCTTCTTCAGAAAACCGCAGTGATTATGAAAGAGAGCAAGCAAGCACCTGGAAAAGGGTTAGTACTGTAAGCGTATAATTTGTCTCGCTCAATTATAAGCAAGTCCTCATAGGATTCCCAAATAATCCCCGATAAATTAAACATTAAAAAGGAGAAACAAGCTTCAGCTTGAGCCCATTACAGTACAAGCTAGAGAAAAGGGCAAAAAGAAAAAGAGGTCTGAATATGGGGAGAGCGCAGGTTTTGGAAGTTGAGGTGATACGCCCTTGCACACACTAGCCAAGGCGCACGGTAGTAGCACTGAATATGACACCACTTTAGCCACGAGGCAATGCAATTTTTATTCGTGTTGATCTAACATTATAGCAATTTTAGTTTTAAGGTTCTTATTCTTCGATTTTTGGTCATATGGTTTAATATTTTGATGCATTTTGAGGACTAAATTGCATTCCAAGTTTATACATTTTTTATCAGTAATTTAAGTCATATAATTTAAAATATTGTTGCAATTTCAGTCATGTAATTTAAATTTTCAGTATCCAAAAAATTGAAATTGCAGAAAATATTAAATTACAGGACCAAAAGGCGAATTGTGAAAATTTTGAGACTATAAATGCTATAACGCTAAATTTACAGGACTAAAAATACAATTTAGCCTAATTTATATATATATATATATATACTAGAAAGTTATGTGCTTTAAAAAATATAATATAAATAAGAATGTAGTATTTGATAGTTATAGAAAAATAATATTTAATAATGTAAATATACAATTTTATGTAAATACAAGTTCATTCACCTAAGCGGTGATACACAAAAAATTTTATTTTTATTTATTTATTTAATTTTATTTTATTTGGGGCATTTCCTTTTTCTCACTCTTTCATTTATTTATTTCCGCTTTTTTCTGTGTTGTTTGTTTACTGATTTTGGGAATAAAGTTGCAGGGACAAAGGCAGTCAAAATAAAAGAGTAGATGACAAGGTATGAAACAAAAAAGTATTTAAATGGAATGATATTTTTTTTTTTTTATTTATATATAAGACTTATAGCCCCATTAGACCATCAAGTTCTTATAGAACATAGGAGAAAAAAAGATTGCAATATAATCAGTCCACATTATCTTGGTTTTTTATCCCACTGCTCACTTAGCAATGGCGTGAGCAATCTCATTATGACATCGATTGGTATGCTGATAGAGTCCACAGTCTAATAAATTCAACTGTATCAGAATATTTAAGAAAATGCATTCCAAATGGTGATGTGAATCATTTGCAATCAGACCTTGCATTACTTCAAGACAATCTGTGGTGACTTGTTTGATCTTCACTCCCAATGTTTTTTAATAATGTTTTCGTTTCACTTTTTATTTTTTCTTTCTTTCTTTTAAAAACTTTAATAAAAGCTATTGTAGAGGTTTAAACATGTAAACTTGTGAGGTTTGTTCAAGTTTGAAAAATCAAAACCCATCAAATACTTGAAAATAAAATTCAAATAATAAACGGGATACACTATATTGAGAAAACGTGAATTACAAATCCCAAATTTCAATGAATAAAACAATGTCGTGAAGTACACTCACTCCAAGTCACGTATTGGTTCATGACCCACACCTAACATACATTTAACCACACATAACAAAACAATATAATACAACACATACCTACAATTAACACTTATAATAACACTTATCATGACATGTTTGAGAACCATTGTAAGCTAGCTTATAAGACTTAGAAGACTAGGTTTTTGTATAAACATCTTACCAACTTATGTAGAACAGTGATTCATTAATTTTACATTTAAATAGTAACTGTTTTCATTAGTATCAATGCAATCATCCATCTAACATTGGGATCAGTACTGACATTCAAAACATCAAAAGACTATTTGATAGAGTGAAATAACTTTATAATAACTCGTGATAATGTATAAGTGAATTGTTGGTCTCCCGTGTATTTATTTTTAACCCAGGCCCACCCTCTTATTTTTTAACTCATTCTAATTGGTTTTGGGAAAGAACTTCATTATGGTGCACCTAGACTTACCCTATTATGGTGCACTTCATCTGCGTGAGACCCACAATCTCTTGCCTCGATTCTCTAAATCTTACATGGTATCACAGTTAGGCCAACTCCGACTTGGGTTTCTCTCTACTCGGCCTGCTCTGAGCTTAGGCTTAACTCACAAGTGAGGGTAGGGTGCATGTTGGAATATCACTTGTGGATTGTCTCATATTGATTTATAGAGAAAATGGGCATAGCTTATGTCTAGTGGGCTACTTCTCTCATCACCAATTAGTTTTGAGATGAAACCTCATTGTGGTGCACCTAGGCCCACCTTATTATAGTGCGTTTTATCTACGTGAAATTGCATCTTCTTGCCTCGATTCTCTAAAATTTTACATATTTCTCAAGAATCTTTCTCAAGAAAAGAAAAGGAAAATAATTGAAGAAGAAAGAGATTTTGGGCTGCCTGTAGAAGTGCATATGATGGTTGTGGTCTGTTTTCTTGCAATGAGAAAGGAAAGAACTAAGAAAAACAAAATGACTTTTTTTAGTTTTTAGTAGAAAGTGTGAAACTGAAGCCACATAATGTGTTAGAACTTAAAATTTAAAAGCCAATCAGCCATGATCTTTTGATTCAAAATGAGGATAAGGTGAACTATAAAGAATGCCAGAGGACAAATAAAACTGTTTTATTTAACCAATTATTTCTCTTTTTCTAGTATAATATATATTCTTGCCAGCTGTTAAGTTGAAATATAGTATGTAGCTTTTACATACTTTGGGGCCATTTATGATGTATTATTGGGTTCTGGATTTAGTGAGGACCACTTGGTGATGTTTGAAAGGGTGTTGAGAACAATTAACCAATCTCCATATTTGGCTTCTTTTTTAGAAAGGTAAAAAGAATTTTTTTGCCTTTTTTGTCTCTTGATATGTATGATTTGTTTTCTTCAAATATTATTTAATTATTAGAAAAAGGTAAAAAAAAATAAAAAATAGTATAAATATATGGTTTTGTTTTTCAGTTTTGTCAGGCCATCTTCATCTCGTTTCTAAAATTCTACTTCAGTTTAAAATTTCTTTAGAGCAAGACTGGAGAAAAAAAAAAATAAAGCGTTACAGTTATCACGACGCATAATACTATATTTTTATTCTCATATTTTGGATTATTTTTACATAACAAGTATCATTTTATACAACAAGTATTTGTCTTTTTATATAACATTTTAATCTATTTTTATACTTTTTTAATATAAATATAATTCTCCTAAATAATAATTTGGTAAAACTCAAAATCAAGTTATATATTTATTGGCATTTATTAACACAACCCCTTGTAAAAAATAAATAAATAAAATAGATCTCAAATATAAAATACAAACAATATAAAATTTGTATTTGTGGATGAATAGTATACGGCACGTGTATAAGGACGAGTTGTGTCAAAAAAATCTCAAATTTCTATAAAACAGGAATTCCAAAAATGTCTCAATATCCTGAGTTAATGAGAAAAATGATATATTGGTGTCGATTAAATGTAGCTAGTAAAAGAGACCCTCTGTTTTCTTTAGTCAGCCTATACACTATGCCCGTTTGACCCGAGCAATCTATCATCCTCTTTGGACAAGTCCATCATGTTAATCTGAACATTCGATTTCGAGTTTGTTTTGTTCCACTCATTCTCGACCCGGAAGAAAACCCACTGGAATCGACGAAGCATTTCAAGAAGAGTTATTGTGAACACCGTAATATAGTTATGTCGTAGATGGGCCGACAGCTTGTAAGTCCAAGTGCACCTCAGGATAAGGTTGCTCCCGATAACCCAAAAATACACCTGCAAATGTTTTGATTGCAAATATTTGAGTGACATGAGAAAAGGAAATGAAAAATAATGATAATAATTGCAAAATATGTTTAACGATGCTTTAGAATCACAAACGACACCTCAATGCATGTTTATTGCACAAATTTCCCTCAAGTAAAATGATTTTCCTTTAAAAAATGCAGCAACACTTGTGAACGTAGTGTTTAAATTCTAAAAGAAGTTTGTACTTGCAACGAACCTCAACTTGGTTGTGTAATTTATCCTATCACATTGAAAGTGTTCACCGTCTCAGATTGGTGTGATTCCATTGATAATCAAGATTTATGCTTCGCGATAGTCAATGATACAAGATATAGTAAGAGATTCTTTTTTTTTTTTTTTTAAGACGATCAAAAAAGGTTAGGCGAATTGCATTACCCATTTCCTTCCATATAACAAGTAGGATAAGATGTGCGGCTTGCTGAACTTGAAAATTCGAGTAAAGCAACTGCAAATGACGGAACAAGCGTATCAAGTTTCAGTTTGAGTTGACACAAATTGTAAATGCTTAAAGAAGAAAAATAACTATTTTACACAATTTCTTGAGAATGTGATCTCAATAGCTTTGGGTATAAAAATCTATTTCACATGAAAATGAAAAGAAAAAAATATATATTTAACTAATTTTTCGGTATACTTTACCTCAAGTCCCAGTCCCGCGTGATATCCCAGTAGAACGAGTACAAAGAGTTCAACACACTTGACAATAGCCATAGAGGCCGATATATATTCGTCCATTTCTCAGGGAAAACATGATACTTGAGGGCTGACAGGAAAATAACTGGTACGGCCGTTGAATACTTTAAGGCTGAAATAATACGAAGATCAAGTTATTTATTGCATGATGTGAGAAAATTTTAATGAACTCATGAGTTCACATCCCAAGCCAACTATGGAATTGCCTAGTGCTGGAAACAAAGTTAACTACGTAAATGATTACACAACTGACCCAAAAACTAAGTGCATGCTAGTAATTCTCCATGATGTTCATCCACACTGATTGCATCATTAACAAGATATTATGATGGGATTGCCCCTTCAAAATTGCTTCAGTTGAAACTGGTATCCTTGTGAAATTTGTTAACGTACAAAAGGCTGACTGATTGAATAATATTCAGCTATCAAAGACAAAACCAAATGAAAGTAGTGCAAATTTTGCATGCATCGGGAGGCAGATAGGTTCGATAGTTCCACTACTCAGTTTCAAGTAACTCCAAATGTAGATTGCAACTTATAGAATAAACACATGAAGGCATACAAAACAAAGGCATGTTTATAGTATACACAAACTCGAACTCCTCACAAACGAGATGCCAGTTAAACAACTTACCATTAAAAAGAGCCGTCTTTTCTCTTGTATCCTTGTATTGCCGAAGACATTGAAAGAGCCTAAAAATGTAAGGCAAAACGAGAACAATAGGTATTGCCACTGCATGACTCCCACATACAGAATCGGCTTCAAACCATGCAATGGTAGCAACCTGCTTATGCGGTATCAGAGAAAAAAAGGCAAACCTCAATGGAAAATCAATGCATCACCATGAAAAATCATGCAAATAATGCAACTGGAAAATTGATAAACCTTCATAGAAGGCCCAACTTAAATAGAGATGCAATAATGACATTCAAAAACCCCAAGGCTCAACATTGTTGGATAATTTATAATTATAGTGATGCTAACCTGGCGATGAACCATCCGACAAACTGAACGCTCCAAATCGGAGAAAACCTGCATAAAAAGAGAAAAATCAGAAGAACAGTTTCAGCATGCAGTAACGTCAGCAAAGATGGGAAAACAAGCTGAAACTGAATCATTTTTTCAAATTTAAATTATACATCTATCTGGCTGTTATACAAGAACTTTCCTACTGAAGCAGTGCAAGAATTTTTAAACGAAGGTTGGAGCTCAACTAAAACAATTAGCATATCAATGTCTCATAATTTTGATTTCCGTAACTTTTCATGAAATGAGAAGCACGCAGCATGAAAATTGATGAACATTCAGGATAATCATAATGGTGTTCTCGTGTATTTTCCCAGTTGATAGAAACAGTAAAACTAACAGGTCGCAGTAGCTGAGCAATTCAACCTACCGTCATTGTGTAGATCTCATTCAAGAATCACTTTTGCAGCAACATTCATATTTAAAAGAGTGTCACTTACTTCATTAAAGTTATATTTGTGCTGCTTCCAGCAAGGCTCTTCTCTCCACAGGTTCTCAATGCTTGGTTTTTTTTTTCGATTTTCTTATTTTATATTTAGAACTCCAAGTAAAACATTATAAATAAAATATTCACTTAAAACAAGTATAAAAATAGTTTTGGGAAGAGAGGAAGAAATAAACTACACCCATAAACAAATAATCTCGGCAGGATTTACAAATACAACAGGATGCATACCTTCGACATAGAGGTAAATATATCAGCCAAAAAGAAGTCAGGAAATGATATTGCCTGTAGTCACAAGGTAAAAATATATGAGGAAAAAAATAATAATAATAATTCAGAGTTCAGAACAATTGTTCGAATATTTTGTTGTTATATCAAGGCACACGAAAATTAGAGCAGAGAAATTTTTTATCAATATCAGATTACATATTTGTAGAAGATGCAGGATTGACATGCGGACGGCACACTGGCACAGATTTAACTAGGAGACTCAAGGTTGGTTGTATGGTAATACTTACGAAGAAGATGTAATAATAAAGGTATCATTTACAGATGGCAAGAAGTGAAGCCATCAAATCTAAAAACAAGAATTTAACATGTGGAGGGAACACCATCATGAAAGATAAGATGAACATAGGGTTTAGTGTGACTCCTGATTACATATGCTTTCAAGTCCATATACCAAAGGAAGAGGTAGCTAAGGTTTTTTGGTTCTCCACAAAGAAACATAATGACAAGTAATACTTAGGATAACAGGTAACTCAATCTTAATAAAAAAAACAAATGTGAACAACATTTGGATATCTCATGGCTTCCAGAAGAAAAATATTCATGCTTGAAAAACTAAGACTTGCCTGTAATGGGAACACGATTCGCCATATAGTCCTCAGTAAAAAGTAACGAGATGACAGATAGAAGATATCAAATGGAAAAATGAGGGTCATTGCGACAGCCGCATATAAGAGGACCTGCAGGTGCCAACAAATATGTCACCACAGGCTACAGCACACCAGTATACATAGAAAACTATGAAGGCTAAAAGAAAATATGTCCGTCTTTGGCAGATCAGGTTCCATAATTACAAATGTCTAGTTACAGAAAGATGTAAAGAGGCATGCACGAGGCATATAAGATGATTTCAAAGTATTTTAGTAGGCATCACATATATAAAGAATAACATGATTATTACGCATGCATTTATCTTATCAATTGCGTAACCTAGACAACGACACATACACTCAGATGGCTGAACAGATCTAGAGGCTTAGATCAATTGGTAATTATATTATTTAACCAGGTACAAATAGTCATGATATTACATTTACTAAATACTAAGCTAAAAAAGGGCGCATGTGGAATTCATATGTACCATGAACAATCATCTGTCAGGAATGCTCAAAATAATTCGATAAAGAAGCATCTATTACACTGGTTGAGAAGCAGCCAAGGAAACTTCTCCATGAGAATAAAGATAAAGATACGCCGTCATGCTAGTCGGGACAATGATCGTCATCCACGTAGCGCACTGAGACATTCAAAGAGTTGTAAGTAAGTTATGATCAAGAATTAGGACATGGGGAAAAAAGACGTGAATGGCCAGACTTGCTTTTAAACACATAACTGAATTTTTCAGATGAAAACTGACAAAAAAAATTATATAAGTTTGAAAATTAAAGGAAAACCATAGCAAAGCAAGTGTATTTGCTTTGGATGGCCAACCAGACTAAACGCCATAGATCAAACAACATAAAAACTTCAAATACTGCCAAGACCAAAATCTGACAAAGTTCACAAGACTATTACTAAGAACTTACATCACTATTGTTTACACTAATTCAGCAGGCCAAATGCAAAAATTCACACAGTAAGCCAGCATATAGCAGGAAAACAAACATATATAATGGCAACAAACTCGAGACTACTAACTAGCTAGAATAAGGATAGTTCAAAATTATGCATACCTTCCATATCTCTCTATGACTGAGATGATTTTGATCTAGGTCAAAAATTTTAGCATATCCAACATTAGCCTGGGCAAAAACCCATAAATTTATCCCCCAGAGCCAAACCATCATAGTCTGCAAATTTCACCAGATAGATAAGAAAAAGACTTTATATATTGTAGTTTTAAGCTTCCACACTTATACTCAACAAAATAAACTAAAATCTCAGTGTAGTTCACTGACCACAAGGAGGAGTGGATTGTAATACAAGAAAGCCTCATATAAAAATAAGTCCCGCAGATCTGCACTCATTCTCATCACTGAATCCCATCCAATCTGCAAATAGCAGAGTATACAATGATCATATGTCAGCCGGTAACCGGTGTTACACAAAAGGTTGCAAGCATGAATGATATTGGAAGGATATTTATACATATACATGAGTATGTACCAGGAAACTGACCTTGCAACAACTGAAACCCCATACAAAAAACAATAATACCTGCCCATTAAATTGGATTAAAAATGAGAAACTGGATAAAATATAAAAAAGTTTGAGAATAATCCCCATACGAACAATAGTACCTGTACTGTACATGAAGTTATATTAAAAAAGAGAAGATGGCTAAAAAGTAAAAGTATAAAATTTAGACAACGGAGACCCCTATTGTGTAGAAGAAGAGAAGTAGGAAGTGAATTGTGGGCAAGTCTCCAGAGAAAGAGTGAAAGTCGCTAGGGAGGTAGGAGAGCAGTAAAGACTAGCACCGGATTCTTTCAAAGAGAAACCCATTACTTCCACAATACAGCCCCCCCTGCTGAATCTTAAGCTTTCTCAATAGGGTAGCCTGGATCCTTTAAAAAGAACCCCACCGTATCCGCTATACACCGAGGACCGGTACCGAGACCCATACCCCTTCTTAGCTACATGGTGGTACTTTGCGGCTCCTCACAAGTCAGTAACTTCTAGTTTGATCAGGGAAACCACAGAAAATGATGATTCTTTCCCCTAAAGAGTAACAGAATGGGGTGGGGTCTACTCTACTCGCTTTCCCATACTTATACCGATAGTTTGTGTGCCGAAGGTAAGCATCTCAGAAGGATTAAAAGACCTTATTTCATTTAAGCCCTTCTTGCTTACTATTACTATAGGATTGACTAGCGATTCCGAAGGAACTGGAGTTACATCCCCTTTCCATTCAAGAGTTCTCGTGTGTTTCCACGCCCCCTTGAGACCCCGAAAAATGGACAAATTCCTTTTACCGGGTAGGAGTGGAGCTAGGGTAGAAGGTGGCTTTTTGTAGAGTGAAAAACTCTAACTGTGGTCAAGACCAGAACCAGACAGTAGAGTGTCACAGGGCTGCCAACGTTCAAGAGAAAGGGTTTTCCTAGACCACCCGGCAGCAAGAATCTCAGTTTACTTCCTATGGCATGTTGAAGACGTTGGGGGAATCCTTCGCCCGAAAGGGTGGTGTTCACCTACTTCTTCGCCGCTCTCCTTGCATCCGAGCTACAATAATAGTCGGACAGGAACAACAAACACTAAAGGTATATAAATAGAATTAGTACTTTTACATGAGTTATACTAAAATTTAAAAAAGAGAAGCTGGCTAAAATTTAGAAAAAGACATCGCAATTCAATATCAGAGTATTCAAAAGCTCAGAAGGTCTATCAATAAAACATATTTCAGAACCATCAAAAATCACAGTTTAACGGCGAGCAAAACTCCTAGCCTCAGTAGGAAATATTGGAGTGGTACTGTTGTAATGCCATCGAGTAAGCCCTAATCTATAAAAAACTACCAACACATGCTTATATCTGAAACAAATATGTAATCTACAAGACTACAACTATCAGGTGTGGAAGCAGAAGGATCCGATGTGGGTAATTGTTGAAAGCTGTAAGACAGAAAGAACAAAATTATTTCTGTTCACAATAAAACTTAAATATAAATTTTCAGAGCTCATAAAGTGATTATAGCCTAAATTATTTTGATATTTGAAAAGACAGGTAAGTAAAATGACATATGCGTTCACTCCATCTATTAGAAATCAACGCACAGTAATACCTTGAATCTCCACAGCAGAAGAGGAGAAGGCATAATTGCAGCACTGCTCAATGGTGCAACCCCACCCTTCATTTCATTCAACTTTTTAGAAAGCAGAAAATCTTCTTCAGAACTGTTTCCCGGCTCACCTGTGACAAACAAATTGTAGTTCTGATAATAGAAAATGCTGCCGCATCTATTGCACCAGCAGAACCAGCAATGTGTCATCTATGGCATATGCCGTGTGCAGATAGTAAAAGTTACTTGTGACAAATATTTTCTTACCGATATCAAACATAACGGGTCGGCTTCCTGACCTACGTAGATGAGGACTATTGTCGGGGATAGGCTCAAGACCTCCAAACATAGATGGAGGCGATAAAGATACAGGGTTTTACACGGTCAAAAGTGCGCTCAAAAACCACTACTGCAGGACAAGATAAACAAACTTCATGAAATTTACGCATTGCGCAAAAACATATGGTACTTGCTCAAATAAACAAGAGAAGTCGTAAGTTAAATTTTCTACATAGCATTTTCTCTTTTGACTAAATAGGAACTTGTGTGAGTGAACTCCATGAAATAACAATATTGTATTTGTAGGAATCAATCAATTCACTCTAAATGCAAGCCCAAAAGCAAAAGGTGTCACCAACAAACATCTGAAGATCTAGAAGCTTGTATATATTTAATACACTAAATAAATAAGTGCTTGTTTTAACAAAGTTAAGAGTGCAGTGGGAACATATACACACTACGATCATAATTTTAAACCTCTCTTTGGCTACTTATTTTATTTTCCTACAACTGCTCTTTTCTGTTTTCCCCATTTTTCATCTTCTTTGTGTGCATTTGTGGTTTGCTTGCTTTTTCTTTTTTTCTTGAAGTTTTTTCTAGAGTCTACTTGAAATCTTTTCCAACAAAATTAGCAATAAAAGGATGCCGCAATATCATCCTTCATTTTCTAGAATAGTATGAACACCCGAATCTGTCTGACTGCAAATGACTCATTTTCCAAATTCTCAGTTCCTTTCTTTGTCCTTGGCAACAAACAGCGGTCAACACTTAGAGACAGATCAATAGCAATTGGCATTAACATGACATTTGCCTAGTTTCTACAACACCATGTAGCCATCTGCATATAATAGAACAGCAACTAACAATACTATCCGGTTTTTCACTTTCAATCACAAACACAACACACAAATACACACACACATATCCACACACTCCAGATTAAATAAACAAACCAAAAATGTCAAAACTATGATTGATCCCTAACTTTCACATTATCTACAAATTCTCGATAAACGAAGAATCCAGAGCGTAATCCACAATGTACTTCAGGTAAGAACCGAAATCTGATAAAAATTCAAGCCCAGTACGAAAAAATTAAAAACAAGAGAAAAACAGAAGGAAATAAATAACTAAAGAAAAACTTCTAACCTGACCCAACCCGATCGTACTTCCGCAATTCAATGGAGCTCCTTCAGATATCTCCGGCGATACAAATGACTGTCAGTCGCTAGATTCGATCCGGGCTTCTCACACGCCGAATTTGGGCTGGGTTTTTTTTCCCCTAAGCGTGGTATCATTGGTGGAAAGTGCGTTTGTTGTGTGCCTTCAGAGGAAATCCCGGCGGATCAAATTCCCGGCGATGGCCAGCGCAGGGATGTTAAAGAATGCGTCTCGGCATTGGAATTGGAAATTATGCTAACTCGGAAAATTTAGGGCATTACTAATTACCGCCCCCTTATTACTAGTCACCGCCCTCCTTGGACGATTTTGCCCTCCGCATTTTTTTCTTCCGCCCAAAATGTCGTCGGATTCAGAGGTATTTTTTTTTTTTTTTT